TCAGAGGAACGTTCTTATATTTTTCCTTCTACCTTGAATATGGAGGCGATACGTTCCTCCGAAACATCGGTTAACACCACATATAGACAGTGCCAAATCCCAGAAGACTGCTTTCTTTCAGGATATAGACATGTCTGTTTCCAAATTGTGGCTGTCAGGTCAACCCTCATCTGAAAGTGAACCAAATGCTATCACTTATGACTCACTTCTTTTCCCACTACTTCTATAAAACCTGCAACTTTCAGACTTAGCTCATTAATGTCTTATATAATGAGGGACAGTGTATTCCACCTGCCTACCAGACTGTGCAGTGCCATGACCCTGAAGACTATACATAGAGTGATTGAGAAGAAGGACCACGTCTTAAAAAATTATTACTATGAAAATCAATGAAGCACAAGAATGCACTTTACTGTATGAAAGAGAAACTCTGGACATTTTATTTATGCTACATGCTGTGCCAAGCGTGCACGGATGTGTGTGCATGCCAGAATTGCGCGACATCAGAGACATCCTGGAGGCAGTCACCAGCTGCTCTGAGAAGGGGAGATTTCACTATATGTCATTCTGGACTCTCTTTGAACATTTGTAACTGATCTTGTTACTGCCATCAACCACAAATACACAGCCTCCTGTTGGCTGGATGTAATCCTCAGAGAAACTGACAGTTGGCCTCCATGATCTCTCCATGTCACTCTGTGTAGCACATACACACATCCATGCGAGTTCAATACAAAATGTAACATACATAATACACATATTTTCAGAGTTCTCTCTCATATGAAAAAATGCGCTCTTGTAGCTTTAGCAGTTTTCACACTAAAAAACTTTAAATTGTTGTTGTTCTTCCTCAGACACTCAGTATATGTGTGTAAAAAAATTTTTAAGAGATTCTGATAAGCTGTAACCAGTACCTTTAATTAGGACCAAAACCAAGAACATTTGTTTTGTAAACCCTCCCACTTCCACATAAGTCAAAGAGATACAAATGCATGAAAAACCTATCACATGAAATCCATAATAATCATAAATTAGACAATAATATTGTTAGCGCTGCCTTAAGTGTTCTTCGCTGTTTCAGAAATAAAATCATAAAAGACACTGATTTAAAACGCAGTTATATCAGAAGTTATAATTATTTATGGAATTATCACCAGTAGACACTGTTACTCCTAGGATTAAGAATCTGGAGTGAAACAGAGCATTTCGTGGATGCCTTATGCTCCAAATGAGAGCAACAGGAAAGAGAGAGAGAGAGAGAGAGACTGTTAAACTCTCAGGCCAAGCAGAACTACAAACTACAGCCGATTGTCTAGAAAATGTGGGAGCCTCAACATCTCACAACCCTATAGGCCTCCACAGCCTCATTACAGGGATACATTTACTTTACTTACTTACTTTTATTTACCAGAGGAAAGGACCTATTTAGAAGATTAAACGAATGGATGAAGGATGTAAATTCTTGCAGCGAGAAGCCTGTGCTATATGCAGGTCCAAGAATTATATACGAAGAATGATGTATTAGGGGAGAGGCAAAGATTAAGAGAGAAAAAAAAAAGATGATGAAAAACAGAAGAATTGTAAATTATGTGATGCCATATAGTGTCACATCCCAGAAGTCACTTCTGTGAGAACTTCAACTCTCACACCACTGCTGCAGGATCTTGCTGCAGTAAATTAGTATGAGTATTATTCCTCAACAGTCTGATTTACATGAAATTGTTAAGGGTTGTATCATCACAGCATTTTTTGCCTAATGTTCATGCTCTCATTCAAAACAAACTCAAAAGCTCATATGGTGCTGTAACAGACCTACAGTTAAGTTATTAAGGCATCTGCAATAATTAATCCAAAGGCAGTTATTTTCCCTGTACAAGTACAATCTATCCCACGTTATTCAAAGGAAGAATGTGTGGTACTCCAGACTATGAAAAACCTTTATCAAAGAAGATGTCCCACTGGATGTCACCAAGAAACTCTCTGAAAAGCAGACATGCTGTGACATTCTTTGGTTAATTTATATGAACCTTTCACTTTGAAAGTCTGTTTCAAGGATACAATGACATGCAAAACCTATCTTTACTCATAATATTATCACATGTTGGGTGTGTCACGCAACAAATAACTTCACGTGGGTCTTGGATTTAGTGACTCTTTATTGGACACTCACACTTATACACCATACAATTATTATCGCTTGTGGTATCACGTGACTTCTGCGACATCTCAACTAGGTTCCAACTGTGTTCTATGGCGACTAGGTTCCAGCTGTGTTTTATGTGGCTCTCGGCTTATGTAGGTGTTCTGTGAACCGGATACGAAACACCATTCACCAAGTTTCAATCTCACGTGTTCGGCAATCCGTTGCTTCGGGAACGCTCTTGATAGATAGGTAACGTGTTTCGTCTCATCCGTTGTTACTCAATGGCAATTTGTCGCTATGATTTGTCACTGTGGGATCTCCACAATTTCCATTGTAGCCGTTGCGCGGCGATGGACGTAAGATAACTCGTCACATTGCTCCCTTCTAAAGGTTGTTCGCCCCCAAACAGCCTAACAGTTCTTCCTTGTTTTCATTTCCTAAGGTGTTCATCTTCTGTGTGTTACCTTCACCTTTTCTTCAGTGTTTTGCCTTCCTTCCATCCACCCCCCTTCTTCCAGAGTGCTTGTCCCGAGCACTTCCAAGGTCCAGCGGTTGTTGGTCCCAATGTCCAATGTCTCACATTCATTCTTCACTTTCATCCATCGCACATTCGTTCTCGCTGGGGAGGCTGGTACTTCTACGTTACCGCTCCTCCTTTGTTTGCCACCTCTTTTTCGGTTTTGGAGGGGGCCTACCCCTCCACAAGTTACATTTCCTTATTTTTTGTAACCTAACAGTAGATATGATCATTTGCTTGGCGATATCCTGTCTTGTAGTTAACTTGTAGATAACTCGTCACAATATTTTATAGTTTTTGCTGCATTAGCAAAAGAAATTCTTACCATATCTTCTGAAAGGAACAGTCATGGTGTCTAACTAAATCATGTATGTGTACATGATATTCAAGACATGACATTGGAGATCATCTTGCAATATGGTAATCTTCTGTGTATTGTTATTTTGTCCAAAACATGTCTCTTCTTGTTCATGCAAGTTATCTATTGGTGATAAAACCCTTTCTTGACGTCATTCATGATCACATTAACAGACTGGATGGATAAGTATGGTTAACTGAAACCAATTATGGAGTAACCAATCACGTTTATTGTACATTCTTTGCGTGATATGCAAGAGAGGAACATATATAGGGCTGGTCATGTTCGTCTGGCTGCCCATCTGCACGCTTCAACTCGAGAAGCATTGGACATATTTTTATTAAATTTAATGTGAACAATATGGCACTGGAAGCCAGCCCAAATTCATTATTCTAGATTTCATACAACTAGTAATAAGAACTTATGGATGCACAAACATATCAGATGGTAGCAACATTAATGACACTACCAAAATGTTGTAACCATGGTAACAAATAATAACGATAACCACAGTAACAGTAGTAACTATGGTAATCACATTTACAGCAATAACCATGGCAACAACAATACAGTAACCAGTGTAATGAAACAAACCACAGTAACAAATGCGGGACCTTTAAGAATGTATACAGTTTTGAACACAGTAGAATATAGTCGAGTCTGGTGGGACTCAGAACCAAGAACAACTGTGCTGGCGAATACCAGCAGAAATTTGCTCGACCCGACCGAAACACAGTAATTTATACGGTATTAAACCAAGAGTACTACTAAATTTTGCATGATCTACACATTACAAACAAATTCTAGAGAAGAAAGATGAATAAAATCAGTTTTAAAACTTACGAAAACTGAACTGATACCTTCAATTAATACCGTTAACATGTTGATCAAGACAGTGGTAATAGATACAAGCATTCAGAATGCCAAGAGACAAACAACATGTGTGAGAGCCTTGCGCACTCAGGTGCATTCCACCTATCACATCTTGTGCATAGGTATAGACATAATTAGCTTTCTGCTTTCACAGAAAGGTATATATCATTGTTCTGAATGAACTTTCTCTTGAAATACTCTGTAGTTGGGTTACTGGGCTGATACTGATCAGCAATGGAACAGCTTCAGAACTTTTGAGGCTCATAATTTAGAACAGCCATTATCTAGATACACAAACTAAATTAACTCTAAAACCATGAGAAAAACTCATCTGAATATACTTTTCTGAAATTCTCTATATGTCCCTTACATATGAAATGAAAGAGATATTAACTTTCTAATTGCTATGCATATTTCTATACAGTACTGAAGACAAACCCTTGACTCCACGTCCAAAATACTGTACCTCTCATCTCATTTATTTGAACACATCTGATAATGTCAAGAAGTGAGGAGTATATATGAGCATGCAATAGTAAAATTCAGTAGATATATTTTGAGAAACTGCATAGATCTTTGCACTGAGGGTTGGTAGGTTCCACCAACTGCTTATAGTTGCATTTCATCTGTTTCATTATCATATTCGCCCTTAGCATATAAATTTATACAGTATGAACATTTTTCAATACCAATATTTCTTTCCTAACACTTGATGTAATGCTGCACACAAATAGTCAGAAAATAAAATTTAGTGGTAAAGATTTTGTTGATGATATGTATATAGTTCCCGTCTTGTAGTGCACTCAATTTCACCTGTTACTTCACGACATGTTTCAGCAACATAGTGCCATCATCAGGTGCCCTAATTACCCTAATCTATTTCATTGCTTGCCTTTATAAAATTATTTAAAAAGTATTTAAAAAGTGCGTATTTATGTGTCATAATTAAAATTTGCATGTGGTTCTTCCACTATGGGGGTCGTTTTTCTTATATTCTGTGTAAACCATGTCTTGTGGTGTGTGTTCCCTTCTTAGCTGCAAGTGTTGTGCAACATGACGCTAAAACACAACATTAAGATTTTGTTATAGCAATTACAGTTTGTCTGTACCTGAAGTGACAGTTGTGGCATGACTTCTATTCAGTACTGTCCTGGTGGAGGGTCCAGTAGCTGGATGTTGATCCAGAGGTGTGGAGCGACCTGTACTCTCCAGACGACCAGAGTCTGCCAAACCAAAACATAATCAGCTTCATTACAGACTGTCCTTCTTTAACTTTTTCATGCACTGTTCTAATAACATGTCCATGCTGAATTCTATACACAGTGTTATGACTAATTTGAAGTCTACTACATCATATACTACAGCTTTAAGTAACCACTTATTAAGACATGTATATAATATAACTGCTTGCCTTCATATCCTTCTTGCTTCATCTTTCATCCTGAACTTGCCACACAACACACAAAATATGCTGCTGAGAAAATATTGTTAGGTGAACCAAGAAACATCTATTTTACTGCGAAACTGTTCTATCTATTATAATATTCCTGTATGCTTTTCAGTACTAAGATCAAACAATGTATAAAATACACAGATTTTTTAAAAAAAAGTGTGCTACACTGCAATAGCTAATTTTCTCTATATTATTATATCAGCAATAGCAAATTAAATATCTGACATTAAATAAAGATCCATGATTTGTAGGCCCTTATACAACCTTCTAAGTTCATGTAATACTCTTTCTATAAGTTTAATAATAATTTGTGACCTGTGTACATTATATTCTAATTCTTGACCCAGAGAATACAGGGCAGAGGTCTAAATGGTTGAGTTATCTTCTCTGTCCATATTGAAAGCTGATTACTTTATTAACACATACAATTTGGCTTATTTTAAGTAACAATGAAAATTATACACCAGATGTGATTTGTCTGAAAACAACAAAAGTGATAATTGAAGGTAGGGGTGCAATTCCTTGTGGAAAAAGAGTGTGTGTTATATTTTAAATGTTCTGAACATCTGTCTTGCCAGTTATAGGACAAATTAAATCTCTGATTATAAAAGCCTTTCAAAATTTTTGAAGGATCCACTAAGTTCATAACACATTCTCGTCAAAGTAATTAAGTTTAACACAGTGCCAATAGCAATACCACAACTGGCATACTATTTAAATTATATTGTTATTATCCGTATAGTTTCAATATCTATATAATAATAATAATATATTTCAATTTATCATTTTAATTTCTCAATGCAGTAGGACTTAAACAACTGTAGTCTGTGAAGGTTAATTTTAAATCAACAAACAAATGCATGCTTATAGTGAAATAATTAATTTTTAAAATTAAAAAAAAAATTCAATGAAATTTGATACTCGTCTCAGAAAACATCTGCAGAATATGTGAATGTGATTTATGTTATCTCAATAATTCAGTAATTAAAAGGCAGCTGAACTCCTCCATCAGCATAAACACCTCAACAAAAATAAAAATTTCATACAATGTGACAGGTTCTTAGTCTGCAATGAATAATTTGCTTCAAACAACCAGCCATGCCTTCCCTTTCTCTGCAGTTCTACATAATTTTATCATGCTTCCTGGTTTCTACCTATTATGAAAGAAACCATCCCTGGGCTGCAGAAATCCATACAGCAATTCCCACTTCTCCCAATGATACAATGGCAATGGTACACAGACAGTAGTAGAGCATGGGCTCTAAACCAAGGTTACAGCATTAGCAGACATGTAAACTTCGATTTTTACACAGAACAATCTGCAGCCTGATCTATTTAATGACAAAACTCTAGACCTTCAGAGGAATAGTTCGGTTTTCTCCCAGACAGTAACAGATTTCTAAATTAGAGTAGCATTAAAAGAAGCAGGTCTACAATAGAGCTAAACTATAATAGAGCTAAAGCTAAAGTAATCGTTATTAACATCCCCATGTAGGTAAAATCTAAAGTTGCCCATCTGATTAATTAAGCACTGGACCAGGAAAATGCAATAACATTATCATTAGGTGGCAAAATATAGCTCCATCTGGTCTTTTACATTTAGAACAAAGATATTTTTTTTACTAAATATCACAAAATATAGACTTTCGTTTTTTTCTTGAGAGATTTCTGGAAAATAGGTAAGACTGTCTTCACAGAGCCATGGATGTATGTACAGGCTAACACTCCATTTTCGAAAATCTATATAATATAGAGGAGAAACATGAAAATGATATTTCAGTAGACAAAGTGTTCTGTATAAAAATTTGCTGAAAATTAACTGTGATTATGTGTATGTGGATGAAACTAGATTCTTTATAGTTAATAAACTGTGACACAAAACAACAAATACTGCCTTCTTTGATAGAGCAACGTTTACCTGGCGTGGAGTTACCCGACTCTGGTGAAGTCTGAACTTCCTGATTGGTGGAACTAGCACGTGACAATTTCCACCCTGTACCACTGGTGGTGGAAGGACCCATAGTTGCAGATGCCGCAGAGGTTCCTTGTGATGACCGCTTGATTGAGGCCATCTCCAGCAGAAGCTCCTCATGGCGAACGTTTTGCAACTCTGTCTTCTTCTCAAGCTCACGGATCTTAGACTAAAAAATAAAATTAATAATCCTTTTATCAGAAATGTGCGACCCACAAATTTTCAGTACTGGCCCAAAAAGAAACTTATTCGTCTCGATTCAAATTTTAGTTGTTCAAGAATTTTCTGATAATTACTTTTACTTTACACATCAAGGTCATAGAAAAATGAATCGGTATCGTATTTAGTCAAATGGAGACCAAGTTCTGTTTCAATTTTAATGGTTACAGAACTATGGGTGATCATGTATTTGAATGCCATATGCAATAGATTTTGCCCATCAACTTTTAGCTTTTAGTATGCTCACAGCACAATTTTTACTATTGTGTTATGACAGTAGCAAGCAAAAAAGTTAGAGGGAAATATGTTTCAAGATCAGAATCAATTAGCTGCCATGATACTGCCCAAAGTTCCACAAGGGCTAAAAAATGAAAGTGGTAATTCACCAGTTTATGATATCACAAGAGTCTGTTCCAATACAGGTGCTATTCAATACAAAAATTGAAGATCATATCGAGAACATGGTACTAACATGAAATGGAAGAAGGTTTCAAGCAACATCAGGCAATGCAGTTATGATTTGTACTTTAAAACTGTGGTGATTAAGAAAAGCATGGTGAACAAACAACTACGAAGCAGCAAGAAAATACAGTGTCTCCCAAGGAAAATACTTGAAAGCGGAAAGAACAGAAACCAGAGCTACCAAATTGTATGCAAAAATTGTTTGTATGGATTCGAGGGCAGAATCAAATGTTAATCTTGTGGAACATCATTGCCCAGTAAGAGGCTGAAATTTAAAGTTAAGCTTAGGATAGTATGCACAAATGACAGTAAGAGGCTGAAATTTAAAGTTAAGCTTAGGATAGTATGCACAAATGACACAAGAGGAACAATTTCTTTTAGAGCAAAGGACTTCATTTGACAAGAAGAAGTTATCACATTTCAAGGCAACGTGATTCTGAAAAATGAAACAGATTTACCTATAATGATTACAGGAATCAGGTAATAATTAACAATTTCAAGAAACTACCATTGAAATGAATATACCTGCAATGCTTCAATTGTTTCATAGTTCTTGCTTTTCTTCTCAGAACTGGTATTTGTGCTGAATTTCGTCAATCGTTGGAGTTCACTCTGCTTCTCCCGAAGTTGGCTTAATGCTTCTGCATGCTGCTGTTCCAGTTCTTTCCTCTTGTCTGCAGCATCACGCATTTGCTATAGGCATATAGTAAAACATAATGCCTGATGAAGGCACTTGCAATAACATCATAGTAAGAAATGCTTCATTACTTTCTAAGAAACAGGCAGATATGGACTAAACTCACAAAGCCTATTTTTGGACTATATAGAATTTCAGCCTTACATATCTTGTCCTGATATTAGAACTCAGTCAAAATCACGATTTGAAAGACAATTCGAAATCCTTTGAAAATATGGCGAAGATCATGTGTTTGGGATCAACAGTAACAAATCAAAATTTAATTCATAAAGAAAATGAAGAGCAGAACACATTTTGGAAATGTTTGCTACCACAGGGTTCAGAATCTTTTTCCTTTCTGTCTGTTATTTAAAAGCACGAAACCCAAAACATATAAAACTATAACTGTACCTGTCGCATTGTATGGATCTGAACTTGGTCTCTTATACTATGAGGGTAACAGATGTCAGAACAGGGTGCTGAGGAGAGTATCTGCACCTATGGAGGTGGAAGCAATAGATGGAGGCTGGAGAAAGTTATATAATGTGAAGCTTCATAATTTTTACTGATCCCCATTATTAGGATGATCAAATCAAAGCAGGTATAGTTGGGGGTGGGGGGGTGTACGTGACATTCTGGGAAAAATGAGAAATGCTTACAAAATATTAGTTGGAAAATTAGAAGAGAAGAGACCAGTTAGAAGAACCACACATACATGGAACAATAATATTAGAATGGGCACACAAAGAAACAGGGGTGGGAGGATACAACTTGGATTCATATACCTAAAAATAAGGACCAGTGTGCAAGCATGGTAATGAAAATTTGGGTTTCATGAAAACCAGGAAATTTCTAGACAAGCATAATGACTATTAGCTTGTCAAGAGGAACTTGCCTACATGTAGTTTGTTTTGTCAGTTAGCTAGTTAGTCAGGCAGTCAGTCTACCAGCCACTCAGTCAACAGCTGGCTAGCTAGTTAGTTAGTTAGTTAGTTAGTTAGTTAGCCAGTCAGTCGGTGACTTATTTAGGAGTTCAGTGCACATGGTTTATACTGTAATGACAGAGATATATTTATCAGGCATGGGTGATGTATTTGTATAATTCTCAAATATACGTAAGCAGTCATCAGCATTCAAATGCAAGTTTGTTACAAAGTATTTTCTAATTGTTGCTCACTCAATTTAGTCTCGTTACTGAAAAAATTCATGGAGTTATCTACCATTCTGTCTGACTTTCAAGTCTGGCAAATATTTTTCCTTCAAAATTTTTAAGTTTACCAAACCAAACTCCCCTATTACTCAACTATATTAAAAATGTAAAACTTCTAGACCCCACCAAGTTGTAATACTTCTAAATGCTTACCTTGAGGATGGACTCAATGTCTCCTGGCCTATTAGTGTTACTAGTGCTACCAGGCTGTACTGAGCCAGGTAGCCCACTGCGACTTTCCCCGCTCACCTGAAACAAATAATCTATGAACACACAGTGCCTTTTCTCAGCTAGCACAAACCAGTAAACACCAGTACACCAGTACCCATACCATCACACCTGCCAAAAGTCAAAATTTGCACATCTGTTTGTGTGTTCTGTGTTTCAACTCAACGTGAGAGTTCTGGCAAACACGTGTCTGAAGAGAAGGTGCTTTATATACTCATACATATGGTATGAATTTGAGTGTAACAATACTGTCACAGGAATGGAAAAGGAGATAAGATGGAGGCGGGGGCGTGCACCCTGTCTTTCTTTCTACAAACTCAGATATGCCCACTCACATTTCCCTTTCTTTTCTAAACTGTTAAAATAAACTGAAGGGTTTCCTTGTTCACATTATGACCTGGAAATTCTTTAAGTTGTAACATGTAAAATATTGTGGTTGAAAAGCAATAGTGGGGGCTCATTCTGAAGTCAGACATATGTATGCATTGATCAGTGCTGTAAAGGGTCAGGAAGTGAAGTAGCACCTCCCGTTTTTGGTAACAGGTCTCTCAGCAAAGCCATCAACCAGGTCTTCAACCAAGAGTCCACAAGGCAAAAGCAAGATCACCGGGAAGAATGTGGAAAGTGATGGCTGCAGCCCCAATGGGAAAACGGTCGTCAGAAATCAAAGGCCGCAAGAGTGGGTTACACATACTCATAAGCAGACCATGAAGGGATACTGGTTACCTACAAGAAGATTATTGACATTGAGGTGATGATGCCAACAGGAACTGGGAAATTAGTAAGGAAGAGGGCTTTGGATTCGTCATCCTCAACACCTCATTTCACATCCAATGAACCATCACTATCAGAGAGGGGCGAAGAGAGCCTAAACGCCAAGGGTTGGAATAAGGACAAGCCCTGCCACCTGACCATCGACACTGGAGGAGGGAAGGCTGGGTGACCATCGCCAAGCTTATCATTATGGCAGGACTACAGAAGAGGAAGCAGTCAGCTGGATGTTTTCTAAGCAGCATCTGGGAGTCACCTCCCTGTCTTGAACGAGGAGCTGGTGGAATTGACTGTGAGGGCGGAGCGCACTATAAATTTGGAAGTTCATCGCTAAGATCACAGAGGAATTGATCCTCGAGTTCAATCTTGCGAGCTTACAAGGCGGCAGTGGATTTGAAGCACCATGTGCAAACAGTGAAAACTATTTTGAACATATCACACCAACAAAGACAGAATGACAGAAGACTAGTTTAAGGTCGACGGGTGGTACTTGTCAGAATGAAGATGATGGCTCAGAAAGCACCCAAGGCTACTGAGAACCAGTCACGTGGGCGACACCAGTCAACTTTCGGGAACTTCAAACACTGCGATCTCGACGACTCTGCAAACAGTTGCAAGAGGTGGTGTCTGACTCCAGGCCGAACCTCAATGATGGAGAAACACGTGAATTTAATCACAAAATTCCTGCGCATTTTTGCAAAGAAGAGCGACTGATTTCAGCAAACCGATTGAGCTTCACACCACCAGACATAGACTGTGGTTTCTTACATTAATGCCCTTTGGCCTATGCAACTCTCATACACAGTTGAGAAACCGTCCTGCTGGGATTTACTTCCAAAACCCTTCTGCTGTACTTGGATGATTTAATCGTTGTCGGCCGGATGCTGCAGGAGCAGCCTGTTAACCTTCGGACTTTCCAGACGTTTTTAAGCATCGGAACTTAACATAACCCCTAGAAATGTCAAATGTTCCAATCGCTGGAGGGAGTAACTGCGGACCCAGAAGGATGTACGGCAGTGAGCACCATCGAAAGACAAACACCACATGAGAACTTCCATGTACCTACTACCGAAGGTTCACAGATGGACTCGCGGATATTCCAAACCGCTGACGTAGTCCACAGAAGAGAAGTGTTCTACCCAGTTGCCTCCAGAAACAGCAGCAACCTTCCAGTCTCTGAAGAAGTTGTGTATGGCAACCATTCTAGGATATCAGCTGCTGAGTCAGAGGTTCGTTGTTGACACAGACGCGAACAACATCGGGATTGGAGGTGTGCTGTGCAAGAGAGCCAGGAGCGTGTATCAGTTACTACAGCGGGGTCTTTTTCGCGGAAAAGAGGATATACTGTTACTCAACGGGAGTCACACAGAACTGCGAAGGGTTTGGAACATTTCCGTAAATACCTCCATAGACAAGAATTCCACCTACATACTGACAAATTCGCCATGATCTGCCTCCTTAGTTTCATCTTAGTTTTATGAATCGGGAAGAACAGACAGCTCGCTGGGTTCATACCCTCGAAGATTAGAATTTTACATCCGAACACCGTCCTGGTCGGTCCCTAGACAACCTTGCTTGAGGACATGCACTCACTGCCGAAGAGTCGAACGTCAGACAGCCTGGACCTAGCCTGGACCTAAGTGTTGTAACTGCTGTCGCCGCGGATGGCTGGAACCCTGCCGCCCTGATGAGGAAGGAGCTAGATGACAACATGTAGTAGATTCTATGGGAAGTGGAGGCTTGAGAGCGTCCGGAGAGGAAGGATACCGCTAATCGTAGTCCCATCTATAATAGTTAATGGCCGCAGAGGAACTCCATAGCAGTAAGAGCCGGCATGCTGAAGCGCCACTGGGAGTCAGTCGGCGGGCGGTCGAAGACAACCCAAATAGTTCTACTTCAGACCAAGGCGAAGGAATTAATGAGAGGGCTCCATAGACGATCTGTGGGAAGACATTTGGGTGTCAACGAATTCTGGACAAGGTCAGACAACTGCACTACTTCCTGCACGCGAGTAGCGACGTTGAGAAGTGCTGCCGACAATGCAACAACTGAGCGGTAAGTCGATATTCTTGAACCCAGTGTCGGCGTCTGATGCACCAGTATAACGTCAGTACACCTATCGAGAGTATCGCCATCAAAATCGCAGGAACCTATCGATACTTCCTGACTTCCACGAACTACTTCACCCAGTGGCCGAAGGTTTACGCAATTCCACTAAAGGTGGATTAAATTCTAACGAGCAACGTCTTCTACCGCTCTGAAGTCTTGAGAGAACCGCAAAGGAACCAAATCCAAAACTTTGAGTGCCTAATCCAATAGCAAGTGTTAGTGCGGCTGGTAATCTGTAAGGAGGTGGAATTAAAAGAATTACATCTGCCCTGCGGTCTGCTCTTTGGATCTCCCAAGTAAAAAGCAATCCTGGCGGAACGGTTGCATGACATCCAGTGTTATGCCGGTCAAAATCTGAAGGAGGGCAGTGGTAGAATTAAAGCCCACTACAAGCGCACAGCCAACTCCGCCGGATTCCAGGAAACAGACCATGTATGATTGTACCTTCTGACCCGAACCAGAGAAAGTGGCTTAAGCTTCAGCCTTCCTCGAAAGGCCAATACAAGGCGATCGCCTGGATAAATGATGTAGTCTACAGAACAGAGCATCATTCGTGGCGAAAATGATGGTCGTACACCAGAACAGAACGACTCCGTATGTAGGGGATACTCGGGACGAGCAGTACTGAAAAGGAAGAAATTGTTGCGGACTGGTCGAGAAGCGGAGGTGTGAGGGGAGGGGGTGGCTGTGCAGACTGGCCACCGTAGGCTTCTTTCACTAGAAACACCGAGACATCATCCCCCACCCCCTTTTCTCCTGGATCATTCTAGGAATGAGGAGGGACGTCTCTTTCGAGTTATGACTCCCTCATTCTCGAAGCTGTTACATGCACAAGAAGATGTGGTTATGAGGCAAGAAAATCGGCAGTGTCAGTCTCATTCTGAGCTTCGAAGTGTCGTAGAGGGGACGTGTGTAGATAATCGGACGTGAAAAGGAAAGTGCTGCAAATAGCAAATACTGTGCGTTCAGTGCAAGTCCCTAAAAGATAATGGAGCAGTGACGGCACGTTTGAATGACAGTGAAAAAAAACAACCTAACATCAATATCTTAAAAGACTATTTACACTGATACAATAGCTGTTCCAAAACAAAGAAAAAATATTATGATACCTTTACAAAATGTGACAGAAGAATTTGTTGGGACATGATGTGGATGTGTAATCCCAACCAAAGGGCACATGTTAGACTACTCAAGTATTAAATATATACCAACTACTGAGGCTACCAGGATCCGGGGTGGCGTAATCAGTATAGCGACTGGCTACGGGCTGGACGACAGAGGGTTCGGAGTTCGAGTTCCGATAGGGTCAGGAAATTTCTCTTCTCCACATCGTCCAGACCGGCTCTGGGGCCCACCCAGTCTCCTATACAATAGGTACTAGAAGCTCACCACTCAACTCCAGCGAGTGCCAAGATCAAGAAAATGAGGATCTACACATCCACTCCTTTCCCATAGTTAAGCACAGGGACAATTTTACCTTTACCCAATTAGGCTCCTATTAGAATGCAATAGATTAAGCCTGTCTTGAAATATTTCCCTTTTTAATCTAAACAACTGTTATATCAAACACTATAATTTTAATATTAGAGTCAATTTTACCGACCACACAACATATTTTTATTATTATTACACTACATGTTTCGACCTCAAGAGGTTATCCTCAGGTGTACGAACACAGCTGTATAATTACACGCACAATCACATTCGTCTTCTCACTTATTCGATCCTGTATCTTATTCAGGCTCACGCTCAATAATATATCAAGCTCTCTCATATAAATAATATAATATAATGCTTACATTTTGCAAATGCTGAACCTGTTTTTGCAGGTCCGTGTTCTGGATTGTGAGTTCGGTGTTTTTTTCTAAAACACGCACCAGTTGATCCTCCTGAAAGAATAAATTGCATTCTGGTTATTTAAAGAAATGAAGTTATAAGTTAAGACTCGAGGACAATTACTCCATTTGTGTAATGATCAGGGTACGGATTTTAATGACCTGAAAATTAAAAAAAAAAAACTATAAAATGACCGAAAAAATCCAGAAAAATTACCTAAAATATGACCCAAAAATGTAATATGCAGGGCCCGGATTTTGATGACCTGAAAATATTCAAAAAATGACCTATA